ATTATAATTATTATTTTCTTTAAATATAACGCTGTTGTTCCTGTTATTATTATTATTATTATTATTACTTTTTCCTTCAAATAAAGGGAATAATGATCAGTTCCTAAAAAGGTTACATATTGAATGACATGAAATGTTTTACATAATCTTGTCATTTCCAGTTGCTGCACTTAGAGCGCGGGAAGATGCAATAACAGTTTCTGTCACCTGATGATCTGTATCTTTTTGATGAAGGACCATAATCATACACTGGGCTGTTATCTGACCATCACAGCTGGAAAGGTCACCACCAGCAGGAAATGAAAGTGGAGACTTAGTGGCTAATTAGCAGCCGAGATCTGTAGATGTGTCTGTTCTAATAAGAGCAGAGAAAGCTCCGTCTCTCCACTTCACGGCCCGGAGTAAAGATTGTTATTTACAGAAAAAATGATCATGGGTCTTCAGTATTCATCAGTTAAAGCTGATCTCTGGGTTCCCCCAAAACCGTCTCCTAACTTTAACCATTACCTCTTTTATGTAACTAAATCTGCAGTGATGCACCGGGTCCCATGTCTTCTATCTGTGATGCACTGGGTCCCTTGTCTTCTATCTGTGATGCACTGGGTCCTGTGTCTTCTATCTGTGATGCACCGAGTCCTGTGTCTTCTATCTGTGATGCAACGTGTCCCATGTCTTCTATCTGTGATGCCCCGGGTCCCATGTCTTCTATCTGTGATGTACCGGGTCCCGTGTCTTCTATCTGTGATGTACCGGGTCCCGTGTCTTCTATCTGTGATGTACCGGGTCCCGTGTCTTCTATCTGTGATGTACCGGGTCCCGTGTCTTCTATCTGTGATGTACCGGGTCCCGTGTCTTCTATCTGTGATGTACCGGGTCCCGTGTCTTCTATCTGTGATGTACCGGGTCCCGTGTCTTCTATCTGTGATGTACCGGGTCCCGTGTCTTCTATCTGTGATGTACCGGGTCCCGTGTCTTCTATCTGTGATGTACCGGGTCCCGTGTCTTCTATCTGTGATGTACCGGGTCCCGTGTCTTCTATCTGTGATGTACCGGGTCCCGTGTCTTCTATCTGTGATGTACCGGGTCCCGTGTCTTCTATCTGTGATGTACCGGGTCCCGTGTCTTCTATCTGTGATGTACCGGGTCCCGTGTCTTCTATCTGTGATGTACCGGGTCCCGTGTCTTCTATCTGTGATGTACCGGGTCCCGTGTCTTCTATCTGTGATGTACCGGGTCCCGTGTCTTCTATCTGTGATGTACCGGGTCCCGTGTCTTCTATCTGTGATGTACCGGGTCCCGTGTCTTCTATCTGTGATGTACCGGGTCCCGTGTCTTCTATCTGTGATGTACCGGGTCCCGTGTCTTCTATCTGTGATGTACCGGGTCCCGTGTCTTCTATCTGTGATGTACCGGGTCCCGTGTCTTCTATCTGTGATGTACCGGGTCCCGTGTCTTCTATCTGTGATGTACCGGGTCCCGTGTCTTCTATCTGTGATGTACCGGGTCCCGTGTCTTCTATCTGTGATGTACCGGGTCCCGTGTCTTCTATCTGTGATGTACCGGGTCCCGTGTCTTCTATCTGTGATGTACCGGGTCCCGTGTCTTCTATCTGTGATGTACCGGGTCCCGTGTCTTCTATCTGTGATGTACCGGGTCCCGTGTCTTCTATCTGTGATGTACCGGGTCCCGTGTCTTCTATCTGTGATGTACCGGGTCCCGTGTCTTCTATCTGTGATGTACCGGGTCCCGTGTCTTCTATCTGTGATGTACCGGGTCCCGTGTCTTCTATCTGTGATGTACCGGGTCCCGTGTCTTCTATCTGTGATGTACCGGGTCCCGTGTCTTCTATCTGTGATGTACCGGGTCCCGTGTCTTCTATCTGTGATGTACCGGGTCCCGTGTCTTCTATCTGTGATGTACCGGGTCCCGTGTCTTCTATCTGTGATGTACCGGGTCCCGTGTCTTCTATCTGTGATGTACCGGGTCCCGTGTCTTCTATCTGTGATGCACCGGGTCCCGCGTCTTCTATCTGTGATGCACCGGGTCCCGTGTCTTCTATCAGTGAATCGCCAGGTCTTGTGTCTTCTATCTGTGATGCACCGGGTTCCGTGTCTTCTATCTGTGATGCACCGGGTCCCGCGTCTTCTATCTGTGATGTACCGGGTCCCATGTCTTCTATCTGTGATGTACCGGGTCCCGTGTCTTCTATCTGTGATGCCCCGGGTCCTGTGCCTTCTGTCTGTGATGCACTGTGCCTGTCCTGTGCCTTCTGTCTGTGATGTGATGCAGGTCCAGTGTCTTCTATCTTACTCACTGCAGGGTGCAACAGTCCTTCTTCAGGTGACTAGATGATGCCAACACATCCCATTAGCTGTTCAGTGGTGGGTTCTCTTGGGCTCCAGACGACTGCAGTGGCGGGATGTCGTGATGGTGGAAGCACAGACTGCAGGGCTGAACCACCACTATCCTCTTCCAGAAACAGTTGCGTCAAGGGACACATGGCAGAGGATTCAGGTAAGCAAAAAAGGTGTTGAAGGGGTCTTTGGGGTTCTGAATGATAGGAGCTGGAGGTGGTCTTCCTGATCACGATTGGATGTCACAGTGGCCACATAATTACCCCATTCCACCAGCCCCTGATTGTAAATGGTGACTAGGACCTGTCAGTGACAGCATGGTCACTATGCTGGGAGCGTGTGAGTGATCATGCAAGTGAGCACACTCTCAGCACAGAGCAGCAGCCCCCTGCAAACATATATGAATGCCTTAAATGTTTATTGCCAGACCTATAACTCTGCAATCAGCAATCACCACTGATTGGAGAGCTGTTATCAATAACTCAACAGGGGGTGTGCCCGACCTCTGCAGAGAGACCACTGCTTCCACACATAGAGCTATGGTCTTTCTCTGCATTATGCTGGCACCGGACAGGCTTTTCTACTCAGGCTGTGGCTGCTTTCTAAAGAAAACGAACTGTAAGACTTTGCTCACCTTCTGTTCTGATGAACCTGGTATGTCTTTAGCTGATTTGTGTCGAGCTTTCCATTATATAAGCGTTCTCTCCTTGAAACATCCTATTAGACCGTGAACGGTTTACATAAGGTAATCGTTACATCAGCAGACCGTCTGGTCCTATTTCTGTCCCACTTCTTAGGTCTCGCCACTTTGCAATGACACAGAAAAACATGAAGATGTTACAGGTTACAGTTAAGACATTTCCCCGGACAGAAGACAACGTGGAAACAAATACGAGAACCCTTTCATCTTTTCTTTTACGGGAAAAAACTAAATTTGATATCGTGTCTTTCAAGAGTACAGCGTTCCCCTAATGCAACTTCAAAAAAAAACGAGATCCCCTTTCATATTTAACCCTGGCGCAGCAATTTCCCATTATTTAATTATTCAGGGGCTCATCTGTTATTTTAAGAGATGTTATTAGCATGAAAGGCAGAGTTGGCTTTCATCTCCATAAATTGTCTGGTATCAGCACATTAACGCTGGCTGGAATGGCTTCGGGGGCTTCGGAGAAAGGACAAGATAGGGAGCGCCGAGGAGCTCCACGCAGTCAGAGCTCCGTATTTCAAGCTGCCGTGGCCTTTTCAGGATTTCAAACCGACTTCTGAATTCGAAGGCGGGCGACAAATCTTCTCTCTCCAGCCCATTAATGTCTACAGGATTGATCCTTCAGGTGGCCAAGAGACTTGGCTGGAGGCTGCCACCCTTATATCATTCAGGTACCTGTGACTGATGTTCAAGAGGGAAGATGGAGTTAAAGGCAATGTATAGTCAGTTCAATATCACACAGGTTAAGATTTCCCTCACTTTAATGGGAAATTATAAAGTTTTATGATCAATTTTTTAAATGTGCAATTATATCAGTTTTAAAATAGCTGTTTTATATACTTTTTAACATATATTGTAAGAAGGACACTTGACTGTAGTCAGGAAATGTAAGTAAAATGCCGTTTTATTAAGGACAAACACAAAACATCTCTTTCCATCAACAGGGTAGACCTCCCCTGTTGCACAAGACAGCTTCCAGCAGCAACATAAAGGATTGGTTCACACAATGGCCAACATTTCATGCACTTCTCATTATAATCAGCTTTCTTCAGCATATACAGTCCTTAGTAGCTTTCCTCAGCTCCAAGCCTCTCAGCACATCTCTGTATGATACTCCCAGCAGTGCGTCCAACAGGTCCCTTGGGTCACCTACGTTCCTGACCTCTCCCTTCGTGGGCACTCACACTGCTCTTCCATCAGTGTGTACAACAGGTACCTTGGATCACTGACCTTCCTGACCTCTCCCAGCCTCCCCTGGCTGTTCCACATGCCTCCAGCATGCACCTGAGTCTGCCTGTGTCCGTGTGCCTCCTGCACACACACAACTCCAACACAACTCCCTTGAGCTCTGGTCCAGACTCCTAATAAGGCTGCTCTCAGCCAACTGATCCACCTATAGTGGTCATTGGCAACACCTGGCACCGGGGCTAGAGATTCCGTTCCACTGTAATCCGGAAAACCTGGAAGGAACTCAAAAGCCAGTTCCTCCTCTGCATAGGTATTCACATGCTGAAACCTCTCAGCCCCTCTAACTGAGTGTTCTTGGGGACTGTGTTGCCAAATTACATTGTGGCGTTGCCACACCCTACTACAATATATATATATATATATTACCCTCTATGGCCAAACATTCTGAACAGCTGATCATAACACTAGAGGCTACCACCTAAAATTGGTGGAGAAAAGATTTAACAACAAAGGGCGTAGGGGATTAATTTCAATCAGAGCGGTTACATTTTGGAACTCTCTGCCACAAGCAGTGGTATCAGCAGAGAGTATTGATTCGTTCAAAAATCAATGAAATACTTTCCTCAGAGACAGTAACATACAGGGGTACAGGTACTCTTAAAAACTAGATCACACAGGGACTCGTGTACGCACATGCACAATCACACACACAAAGGTTGAACTTGATGGACTTCATGTCTTTATTCAACCTCAAATACTATATTACAACTACACTATATGGGCCCTAGGGATGAGCTTTAGGTTCGAATCCACAATGAGTTTGACCTGACCATGAGTTCACCCAAACACAAGTTGAAGTTGTTTACAGTTTGACGAACAGGTGAACCATATGTCCAATTCTCCAACCTGTGGAACCTCCACCATGGGAGATTTGGGCCAATTATAGGAAGTCAACAGCATGTACAGCCAGGCACTGACTCTCCTGTTTCAGCCTACCTAAGTGTGCCCCCTCCCATCTGCTAAGCCTCCTTAGTGCAATGGGTGGTCCCATTAAAGCAATAGGGAAGCTTAGGCGGCAGAACTGGGCATGACTTTCCCAAGAAAAGTCAAAATTTGAAAAAAACTTTGCTCAGATTGAATTGCCAATGAGTGTGGCTTATGTAAAACCCAACAATGAACTTCTCTTATTTGCTCCCTTTTGGTTCTGTTCAACATACTATTGGGAGTGTTTTGTTATATCTGTTTAATAAGTGCAAAAAATGCCAGAAAGCTTGTGAGCTGATAACTTCCTGTGTACCGTCTGCCTCTGCTGCACTCTTATCAGTTAGCATTTTTCCCAACTAACTCTGTGGATTGCAGGATACAATCCTCCATGTTATGGAGATGAGGAGATGGGGCAGGGTTCTGTAGCCCTGACATACTTCCTATCCTATGGTAACCACACTGCATTTCCATGCATACAGTGCAGAGAGGTTGAGGGGGTGCAGTGTGGTCACCTTAGGATAGGAGGTGCAGTGTGGTCACCTTAGGATAGGAGGTGCAGTGTGGTCACCTTAGGATAGGAGGTGCAGTGTGGTCACCTTAGGATAGGAGGTGCAGTGTGGTCACCTTAGGATAGGAGGTGCAGTGTGGTCACCTTAGGATAGGAGGTGCAGTGTGGTCACCTTAGGATAGGAAGTGAGTCAGAGCTACAGGACTCCTCCTCATCTCCATAACATGGAGGGTTCGCCAAATCCAGCCAGAAATCCAGATTTGTTGAATGGCGAATGTCCGAGCATTGTCACCCTAGGACAGGAAGTGCATTACTGGCAGGATCACCAGATGAAAATAAAGGAAAAATTCCAAAATAAGAAAATGAATGCAGTCACCACATCTAAGGAATGGCAAGCTGCAACATATTACATTTATTTTCTTGGCTTTAGATATGCTTTATATGTGCCTGTTCAAGAACGGCTGCACTGGCAGTAACGTAGTGACGTAGATTTAGGTATGAGTTTATCTTCCAAACAAGTCCTCAAATAACCCCATTAGCCAGACTCAGTATATCCTCAGTCAGCAGATTTCGCTGCTCCCATTGTGTCAGTACTTCTATCTGTCCCCAAAAAATTTTAACATATATTGCAAGGCTATAGTCAGATCATGCTGACTGGTGACAACATTGTTTAGTGTACGTGTCAAAGTAACATCCACATGAATGGCAGGACCCTAGGTTTCCCAGAAGAACATTGTCCAAAGCATCACACTGCCCCCACCAACTTGCATTCTTCCCATAGTGCGTTCTGGTGTTATCCCTTCCTCAGGTAAGTGACACACATGCACACGACTATCCACAAGATGGAAAAGAAAACGTGATTCATCAGACCAGGCCACCTCCTTCCATTGCTCCGTGGTCCAGTTCTGATGCTCACGTACCCATTGTAGGCAGTGGACACGGGTCAGCATGGGCACCCTGACCGGTCTGCGGCTACGCGGCCCCATACACAACAAACTGCGATGCTCTGTGTATTTAGACACCTTTCTATCAGAACCATATAATGGGCGTACGTGTGTGTATAGCTATACATGTATATCAGAGCATAAAGCTCCATTGCAGGCAGTGGAACCCCCTCAAACGTCAAGGGTTAAAGGAGAACTATGGGGTCAGGGCTTTTCCTCATAGTTCTCCTAAGGGTAACGGGAGTACACAAACTAGCGTCCTCCCGTCACCCTAAGCTCAGTATACCGCGAGCTACAGCTCGCGGTATACTGAGACGCCGCAGCCGGAGCGGATCCCGACTAGACTTTTTACACATGGGAAATAAAAAACTTGACAAGGGTTCTAACACATCCCCAATTTCTCCAAAACTAAAGAACAAAAAGAAAGTTTGGGCTGTAGATGAACTTTAGAAATGTTGCCATCCCCGATGGTTTCTTGGTAATATC